GTACATCACTCACAGGGAGCATTTTTATGCAGATCAAATACTTTTATTTTGATACTTTACATAGGTAAGATATTGAATGCTGGACATTTATAATGGAGTATTTTACACTGTTATATTGGTCCTTTTGCTGAAGTAAAACCATTCAACCACTGAAAATATACTGTATGATGTCTTCATGATGATGGGTGTTAAAGGGTTAATATTTTATTACACAGGATAATATGCCAGAGTAGCTATACGTAGAGCATATTTGCACATTTAGCCAATGTATTTTCATTTCTGAGACCTTGATGGTGTGTATCTGTGTGTGTGTCTTACCAGTGCTCCTCCTGTGTCTAGTTTGTGTGTGTGCTCTCTTCAGGTCGGGGAAGCTGTGAGAGAAGTCCTTGTGGTAGCTGTGTTTGGTCTCCTCGATCACCTCGTTATCTGGATAGAGACAAAACAAGACACGCACATTCAGACGTCTCACACTCTCACTGTTAACAACACCATTCATAAATATTCCCAGATCCCTGTCAAACACACACACACACACACACACACTAAGATGTTTATTTGAAGGATAAAACACAAGTAATAGGTTCATCTTCTGGGAAGCATGGATGTTCTTAGGCTAATTTCTCATTAGACTGGATTGTTCTTATGCACAAGATTAAATTTAGGTCTAAAAAAGGTCAAAACATTAAAAAACCACTGGGGAGCACGAATATCTACGCAAAATATCTTGATGACTGACCGACTGACCAATAACAACCATAAAAAGGAGGATGTTTACATGCTGCAGCAAGTTGTTTATTACAGATATCTTTATCAAGTCTGTCGTGATCAGAGAACTTGCTTAACCAGGTTATTATAATCAAGTTATGATGTTTATAACTGTCAACAGGTTACTGAGTTCTCTGCATGTAAACGTAGCCAGTTAGAAACACGGCGTGTCAGTGCGTATATCAGATACATTTTAAATCGAATTCATCAGGAGTTCATTCATAGGTCGTCAGAACGCTACAGCTGAGAAAATGCTGCATGTTGTCTTTGACTACGGGCCGGGGTATGCTTGAAATTCAATGTGGCCTTCGAGTGTCAAGGAGGAGTGAAAAGCCGAGAGGCGAGATGCGATAATTGTTTAAATATGGGGATAATGGCGCATACTTTTGAAACCGTCTCTCCTGTAAGACAGTTTGAATGTTTCACTTGTTTTGGACGCATGAAAAGTGGCGGAGGGTTGGGTCAAGACTGAGACAAGAGTTCAAACCCTCCCGGCTTTCTAACCTCTGCACGGCTGGCCAATCACAGCATGAGGTGGATGTGAATTTCAGGTAGTCTGTTACATAAAGTTACAGAAATTGTTTGAATTTTGTCTTTGGAAAGGTGTCATCCATCAAGCACTTCCGATGAAGTATACTGGTGCCTTCATACTTGATTCTGTACCAAATAAATCTGTCCTCCTATAGAGAAATGCTGATTCACAGCTTCATGTTTAATTGAGACATTTTATTTAATCAGTACTCAAAATATTATTGGTATAAGTCATGGACTGTGACACTGTCACAGGGAGTGAAACTCAATGGGAGAACAACTGCTGTTGCTGTTATGTTTTTCATTTTTCATTCTGAATACATTGGTCTGTTCAACCTAAAGAAAACAGGTTTGTGGTAGCAGTGTCAAAGAAGTTTATTTTGTTGCCAAGTGAAGCACAAAACACACACAGACTTGAGCCAAAAACATAATAAAACACATAAGACAAATAATAAGAATATATAAACCATATGTTACAAACCTCCAGGCTGATACCATGACTCATTGGAGCATTTAACACTTTGATTGATTGTTTCAAAATGTAGCCAAACCAGAAATGTTTATCTCTAATCCTAAAACTCACACATGTTATTTAAACTCAACCCTCAAACCCCTCAACCTCAAGGCTGTTTTCACACAATCAGTTAACAGGTTGTAAAAATGTTTCAGACTCTTCCTTAGCGTCATGTGTGCTGAGTATATGAGTCTTATAACATGTAACACTGTGGGAACTCAGCTGCCACATGGGGACAAAAATCAACAATTTATTTTAGGGTTTCAAACTTATAAGAGAATGAAAGTAAGTAGTGAATACATTTATTTATAGCATCATAAAAAAACACAACGTATACAATAAATAGTTCTTCTAGTCTGTTTTATGACTGATGGCTTCTGTTTAACGGAAGCAAATAAATACATCTTAAACTATGACAGGTGGGAAAATCCAAGCTGATGGTTATGTTTAGTTTAGTGATGATTTAACACATGAGGAGTAAGTACCTCCACAGGCAGCTTCTTATACTGAGCTCTGCCTTTGTGTCTTTGTGTGTGTTTATCACGAGATGCTGTAAAAGTCAATCAAGTGTTTCTAAAGTGTTCACAGATCCATCAAACCACTTCAGCACTTAGCATTGCCAAACCACAGGATATCCACAGACTCGTTCATAGCCAATAAATTAGGAGCTGAGTTTGTGTGTGTAGTGTGAACTTCAATGTGTGTGTGTGTGTGTGTGTGTGCAAGAGAGGGAG